TCCCAAAGGCTGGGATTCTGCCCATCTGCAGGAACAGGGGGTTTTTAAAGAGGTGACTCAAAGGCTACCTTCCACGTGTTCTCTGCTGGAGCTGTGATTCGCTTGATCACTTGGGAGACAGTCATTTCTGAGATCTGCTGCCAGATCCCCAGAGTCTGGATTCCTTGTTCCTATTGGGGGGGGGGGGTATGCACTCAGGGACAGATAAATCTGCCTAAAATGGGGAAGAAAGGGAGGAGCAGGCAGAGGAAGAGAAAGGAACATGAAGCATAAGGGGGGCCACTGTTACAGGAAGGCCTATGAGTGGTTGCGGGGACTCTCACTTGTGTGGCCCCAAGAGAGTCCCCAGCAACCACAGTCCCTGTGACCATCTATTTTTGTAAACTAAGACTCTTTTTCTTTAAAATGCACCCCAAATTTGTCATCTTTGGGGCCCCCAAACCTGGGTCTCTATGGGATGTTGGTTGAAAAGGCAGATTCCCAGCCCTGTCCCCAGGGCACCTCGTCATGGGCGATTCTTAGCTTGTTCCTCTTTGAGCCCTGCCAGGCTAGAGGGTCTTCCCGATTCCCAGCTGGCAGATTTGCAGGAGGGCTCACTGGAGACTTGGTGCCCAGCTGGGGTCTGGTCTGCTCATATCCATCCCTCCCTGTTCCCGGAAAATAGCTGATGCCCGCAGGAGGGGCCCCGAGCTCTGAGGACATCAGTCTATGCCCTCCTGGCCAAGACCTGTTGATCTGCTGGGCCTTGCTGATGGCAGTTAAGCTGGAGGGAGGGGGAAGGGTGGAGGGGGAAGGGCGAGGAGGCCAGCGGGGACAGCCCTGGACCCTGCCCTCGCCACAGTCTCTGCTCTGCCTCTTAAGGGGTCCTGCTCCTTTTTCCTCAGAGCCAAGGGTCCTCCCTCCTCCTCCTCCCTCCCATTCTCAGTTGGGTCTCTGATTTTGGGGGTGGGACAGAGTGACTCACAGCTGTCAAGGTGCAGGAAGAACAGGACTACCTGGAGTTGACTCCTCTGGGTGACCCGGAGTCACTCCCAGAAAGCCGGGCGGACTTTCGATTTCCCCGTAAGTGACCCCGTGTGGGCCTTGCCAAGAGGAAATGAGGAGAAAGGAGCCTCAGGGCTGGGGAGCGGAAACCCAGGAATTCTGTTCTTCAGAGAGGCAGTGGGAAGAGCCTGAAGCTGGAGGAGGTTCTCTGCAGTGCATGTCCACACTCTTCACTGAAGTCCCAGGGGGAGGTGACCGTCTGGATGCTGGAAAGGGGTCCATCCAGGCTGCAGGAGGATTTGAGGAATTCTTTTTTTTATTGGTGGTACAGGGATTCAACCCAGGTATGTTCTGCCTCTGAGCTACATCCCAGCCTTTTTTAAAAAAAAAAAAAAAAACAACTTTTATTTTTACACAGGGTATTGCTAAAATGCTGAGGCTGGCCTCAAGCTTTGATCCTCCTGCCTCAGCCTCTTGAGTAGCTGGGATTACAGGCTGGGGCCACAAGGCACCCAGCCCCAGGGACTTCTTATGGCTTAGTCTGTGGTTGGTGATAGACGGTGTCTCTGCCTTCACTCTCTGCTCACAAATACCAAGGCCTTTTTAAAAATTTTGAATTATGCTTGAGCCTCTCTAAGCCATTTTTTAAAAAAAGCTAAGGTGTATTTTACAGTTGAATTGGAAAGCACAGATCTTAAGTGTAAAGATCTTTGTTTGCTTTTGCAGTGCTCAGGATGGAACCCAGAGCCTGGTCTTGGCCAATATGCTTCAGGACTGACCCAGGGGCTGGGTGATGGCATAGCTTGGGATCTCTCCTCCAGAAGAATGGGGAGCCCTACACAGAGTGCCTAGGAGCATGGCAGGGGCAGGCGGGCAGCAGCCCAGGAGAGGGAAATGCTGAACAGAAGAATTTAATTCAATGTAAACAGGTGCAAGAGTCAAAGCCTGGAACAAGGTGACATCTAGGGGACATCCTTGGGTGTTCTCAAGATGTGAAGTGTAGTTTGGGACAATCTTATCTAAGTCATAAGGGACAGGGACACCTGACATTTGTCTGCTTACACAAGAAAGGCAGGAGAGAGGCAGCAGGCAGGATCTCACTCAATGAATTCTGTTCTGCACCAGGCGCCTTCCCCATCAGAGAGCATAAGTCCAGGGAGCATTGACCAGGAGGGGACATAAGGGGCCCTCTGGGTCACTACAGGGGTCAGCTATTTTGATCTCTTACATGTACAGAGACACATGCATAATTTAATTGCATGGCACACTTAAGATTTGGGCTGACAGAAAGTGCCCGGATAAGGTCCAAGGGGGACAACGCCTGACCAGCAGTGGTAGATTTTCAGTCTGAGACCATCTGACTCACATTTTTAAAAGTGTAATTTAGTGAAATACACATAACGAAATTTACCATTGAGAAACTGATGTGACTCCATTTATGAGAAACCAGCCTCTACCTCAGAGCAAAGCCTGTCCAAGGAAGAGGGCGTGACCCTTGTCTTTGGAAAAACCCACAGAGCACTCCTAGGCACATATCCACCCTGCTGAGTTGTTCATCTACAAATAATAGGAGAGTACTGCTGCACCAGGTGTCCCTAACTCAATCAGGCTAGGTGAGGACCCATAGCAATCCCCTAGCAGCCACCAATCAGCATGAGACAAGGAAAATACCTGGGATGCCAGATGACCCCCCAGTAGTATATGGTGGTTGATAACATGTTGGGAAACCATGTAGTTCAGCACGTACTCCCTTGTGCCTTAAACCAATCAGTTCAAACGAATCCCCCTCTTGTACTAACCAATCACCCTTACCCAACTTGTTCCCGCCAGTGACTGTGCTAATCAATGTTAAGAGTTGTTTTATGGTTTTCCCTCGGGGTGTGATGACTTGCTAAGAGATGCTATGATGTATGAGAAGTCCCTGCCTTCCCCAAAGAGTGTATAAAACTGCTGCAAACCCTGGGCTCGGGGCGTCTCAGCGTCACCAGTTGCTGTGTGCGTGGAGGACCGAGCTAGCTCGCAATAAATGCCTCTTTGCTGCTTACATGGATCTTGGTCTCTGGTGGTATTTTGGGGATCCCGAACTCGAGCATAACACCCCATCTTGATTTTTTTTTTTTAATCTGGTACTGGGTTTTGACCTGAGTCACATCCCCAGCCCTTTTCATTATTTATTTAAAGACAGCATCTCACTTAATTGCTGAAGGCCCTCCCTAAATTGCTGAGGCGGGCCTTGAAATTGGGATCAGCCTGCCTCAGCCTCCCAAGTTGCTGGGAGTTTTTTCCTAGGAACCGTCCTACTGTCTTCCACAGAAGCTGTACCCTCTTACATTCCCACCCACAATTCAGGAGCTTCCTGTTTCTCCACACCCTCACCAATAGTTCTGTTTGTTGTTTTCTGTTTGTTTAAGTTGTAGCCATCCTAGTAGGTGTGAGACGTCAGATTTGCAGTTTGAAAAGACCTGTCAGTCCACAGTGCTGAGAAGCCAGGGCTGCAGGCAAAGACCTGGATGCAGGCTCTGAGAAGGAGCGTCCCTGAGGGCTGCCTCTCACCAAGCTCAGAGCTTCCCAGGAGTGCACTGTGGCTCAGCAGTCTGGGGAGCTGCCTGGGTCAGAATCCTCTGGCCTGGCACAGTGCCTGGAAGGCATCTCCCTGATGCCTTGAATAGTCTAAGAACCCTCTGGGGTGTGGGTTTGACAGTGGACCCTCCCCAGGCTGTCTGGAGCAGCGCCCTGGGGCCCTCCTTGGGGACTGGACTCACCAGTGAGGTCAGTTACTGTGACTCACCTGCAAAGCACAAGGTTTTGCAAAGGTATTTGTTTTCTGGGCCTCTCTTAGGCTCTGGGAGATTTTTTTTTCTTCTAATGGTGAAGCTGGGGGACGAGGCCATCAGTGTAGGTCATAAATGATTGACTCAGAAAGATGGGGGGCTGGTTCAGGGGGGAAAATGAAACGCTAATACTTTCAGGACTCATCCCCCTTCTCCAGGGAATTGTTCCTCCTCACCAGGGGCTGTTAATGAATGAAGGCCTCCTGGGCCCCAGGATCTCTTTCCTGCCCAGGATCACTCCACCTTTGGCCCACCTTTTGGCCTCTAATCACATATGCAAGATGGGGGGAAGACAGAGCAACGAGAACAAAGAAAATCTAAGAGGGGCAGGACACCCCCACTTCCTCGGACACCCAGCTCCCTGTGTTTCTCAGGTGTTCAGTCTTCACTTCTGAGAAATGGGTGATTCTCATCACCAGCAGCATCAACAGACTTCTCTCAAGATATCGTTTACCAGGTTTGCTGAGGTTTTAAGAATGGAAATGCCTGTGGGGCCACCACCCAGATAAGGTCTGGAATGTAGGCAGCCATCAGAGGGCTCATCTGTGCCCCTCCTGGGGGGTTGTTCCCCTCCACCTACTTTTTGTAGCTTGAGGGTTATTCCATTGGACAGACACCACCATCATCTCTCCTTTCTCCTGTTGGGGACCATTTGGCTTGTATCCAGTTTGGCGCTGAGATAGGTGAAGTCGTTGTGAACCGTCACCAGTCACGTAGGTCCTCCATTCTCTTAGGTATATATTTAGGAGTAGAACAGCTGAGACGTAGAAGTACACGTTTGTGTCACACCCAGGCAGTTCTCCTGAGCTGAATTATTTCACTCTCCAAGTGAGAGTTCCAGTTGTTGTTCCAAATCGTGACCAGTTGGCAATTGCCTAAAAGTGACAAGATCCTAGTGTGTCCTTTTTTCCCTTCCTTTCTGCTCCCACTGGGCTGTCTCCTTAAATTCAGTCAAATTCTGATCCATCCATGCCCTCAGTCTTTGGGACCATCCCTCTCCTAGAAGTCAGTGCAAACTCTGGTGCATCTCAATAGAACTCAAGAAGGAAAAGAGGTGCAAACATACGTGTGGCCTGAGGCCCCTTCTGCCACTCAGTGCCTGTGGGACCCGGGTCTTGGTCTCCTTCATGGCACTATAACAGAACACATAGACCAGGTGATTCATAAACAGTGGAGGCTATTTATTTCTCTGAGCTCTGGAGACTGGGGAGTACAAGGCGCTGGCATTGGGTGAAGGCCTTTTGCTATATCATCTCTCGAAAGAAGGTGGAAGGTGGGAGGATGGGAGATGGCAAGAGTGGGGACAAGGGATGGAGTTGGGGCCACAGCCCTTCATAATCCACATTAATTCATTCATGAGGGTGGCCCCCTCCTCATCCGACACCTCCCATCGGGTGCTTCTCAATTCTGGTGCATTGGAGATGGTTTCCAGCGGGTGCTTTAACTGCTCATCCCAAGTTTCCTTCTCGATTCTTCTCACTGGCGTGTGGCGGGGACCTGAGGGACTTCAGGTAAATTTATGGAGATGGCTCCCCTCCCCCACTGCCTCTCCTGTGTTCTGTTCTATTGCCCTTACCTGGTTACTAACGCCAATTAAAGGCCATTTGTTTCAAATGTCCCCCTCCACCCCCTTCGGCATCGCTTGGAAGGTTCTATGGTGCTCAGGACTGACTTCTCTCCTCATTCCAAAACCCAGGAAAAAGTAGAGAAAAGATAGGAAGAAAAGAAGAAAGACGAGTTCATAGAGGAGACTGGAAGCTCTTGGGATTCTAGAATAAAAACGTCCATCATGGTATTTTTCTTGTAAAACTCTTCTTCCTGCATAATTATGTCTTTACCGAAGGAATCAAATTTAAAGAGATACTTTTTGGAAAGCCTAAGAATTCTCAAGTAGTTCAAGCTGTATGTCTTTGGGCCTATCCTGAGCCTCTCTGAGCCCCAGCTGGTCTGTGTGTGTGGAGGGTTGAAACAGACCTTCCCATCACTACCCCTGTGCAGCCCTGGACACTGAAACGGATCTTGCTTGGAAAGATGGCCACGTGCTTCCGGACAATGTCAAGGAGAAACTCCCCACCATGTCACTTGGAATCTATGAACCAAATGGGCTTGGGCCCTGGTGGCTCCTGGAGGAGAGAGGAGGGAAAGGTCATAGGGCTGGGAGCTCCCCTTCCCTCCCCAAGTCCCGAATAAAGGGGACGGACCACATGTGAGCCTTGGGAACAGGAGACTCAGGGAATCTAAACTGGGCCCGCTGTGCTGCCCCCGCATGCTTTCTCTTTTCAAAAGCCATTTTCCTGCCGCCCTGGCTGGAAAATAAGCCACAGAGCTCCTTACATTCTTCAGCAAACAGCCTGCAGGACTAGCAGGCCCCAAACACAGATATGAGGAGCACCAGTTTCCCCGAAGCAGAGACTTTAGTGACCCTTACACAGACCAGATCCCAGAACTCAGGGAGATAAGGATGATTCCCCCTAACCATAAAATCTGTAAAAACAGGTTCCAATGAGAACAGTCAGCAGGGGCCAAAGTGACCTGCAGTTGTCAGGCACCGTGGGGACTCAGAGGTCTGAGGTCATCCTGCTGTCAGTCAAAAGTCTGTTATACAAAATTACATATAAGAGGAAGTGAGGGGAAAGGGGGAAAAAAAACAGGAGAGAGAAATGAATTACAGTAGATGGGGTAGAGAGAGAAGATGGGAGGGGAGGGGAGGGGAGGGGAGGGGAGGGGGGATAGTAGAGGATAGGAAAGGCAGCAGAATACAACAGACACTAGTATGGCAGTATGTAAATATGTGGATGTGTAACCGATGTGATTCTGCAATCTGTATACAGGGTAAAAATGGGAGTTCATAATCCGCTTGAATCAAATGTATGAAATGATATGTCAAGAGCTTTGTAATGTTTTGAACAACTAATAATAAAAAAAAAAAAAGTCAAGAGGTGGACCTGGGTGGGATCCTCTGAAAATGTCCCCAGGATCCCCAGGAAAACTGAACGGCAGGAGGGGCATGCTGTTCCTCTCTCTGAGAGGACCCAACCTCTCCCTTGAGAGTGTCCCCTTTCTCCCTTTCCTATCCCTTCTAGTAAACTCGTGCCTGTTACTCTGAGTGATATCTCTGATATCTTTCTGGAATGATTCCAAGAATCAGGATTTGAAGGGGGGGGGGGGTCTCTGTGCTTCCTCAGTTGTCAGAAGGCCCCAGCCCTGTCATACCACCCCAGACTCCCGCCCCCTCCCCTACCTTCCTTCCGCAGACCGGCTCCCTCTGGCTCCGCCCTGTTGAAGAACTGCCAAATTGCTTTAGTTTCTATTTCCTTGTAACGTCCTGCCTGAGCAGAGGACAGCCCAGCCACCGTGAAAGGCAGCAGTGGCCACCAAGGTGGTGGAGAAATGGCTTTCTGTGGCGTCCAGTCTCCCTACCTCAGCCCGGTGAGTATTGGGGACTGTCACAGGGCTGTCCCCAGCTGGGCTGGCTGCCATAGCCTGGGAAACGGCTATGGGTGGTGAATGGGTCAGTGGGGGAGGGGGGCAGAAATGCCAGGCGGGGACATCCCAATAGAGCTCCTGTTCCATGCCAGTCTCATCTGTGCCTCTTGGGACCAGCGGGTGACAATCACCATGGTCCATGCATTTGGCAGACAGACACTCTGAGCTCCCGCTGGGTGCCTGCTCCATCTGAGGTGCTTGAGCTAGACAGGCCTAGTAGCTTCTAGAAGGGTGATGGTTTGGGGAATGGGGACGCCATCAGGCTTCTGGGAGAGTAGCCACCCTCACAGTTAAAGCGCTGACTCTGGAAAGGGCCTGTCCAGATGGGTCGCTCACTAGCTGAGTGATCTCAGGCAAGGTCCTTTCAACTCTCTGGGCCTCAGTTTCTCCATCTGTGAAGTGGGAATCACCCTCCAGCCCCCATCCTAAGGCTGGGTAAGCACTGAGTGAGGGAGCATATTTGAGCACTTCCTGGCACACAGTAGGTGCTTTAGGAGTGTTTCATGTTATTAGGAGTCAGGGGGCATCGAGGGGGTCTGTGCTCTGAGGACTGAGTCGGAGGTCACAAGGTAAGGGCATGTCCAGGATGTCTGCAGAGGGCAGCCCTGGAGGTGAGGGAGAGTGGGGACTGTCCATGTGGACGACAAGGGGCTGCCTCCCAACCTTTCCTCTGTCTGTGGGGAGCCTTGTTTGAACCCTGTAAGGCTATTATCCCCACTTTACATGTGGAAAAACTGAGGCTCCAAGAGGTTGAGGCACTTGCTAAATGTCTCCAGATGCAAAGCGGCGGAGAAAGCAGCGGCTTGGTTTGCTCTCAGAGGAGGGAGAGACCAATGCTGGGAAAGCAGGAGCGCCTATGGTCGCCCTAGGTGTCAGGGTTGAGGGGGTTGACAGGTGCCAGGGGTAGCCTGGTGGCCTGGGCCTCACACTTGACCCTGCCGCAGCAGAGGCCTGAGGCCTGGCCTGAACTCCCCGTCAGTTGCCAATGTTGCCATCACCCCTCAACCACCCTGTGGGGCTCCTGGGGTGGGGCGTGCGTGGAGGGGTTAAACAGCACCTCTGTGGGGGGAGGGCTGCGGGGTCACAACGGTCCCCACAGCATCTTACTCTGATTCCCCATCAGACTGGAAATGACATAAGTGCTGACATTTTATGATTCTGATTTTGAGATTTTTCTGTGGATGTAGAAGCTAAACTTTCTGGTTTTCTATCAAATGAGAAAGAAAATCCTCCTTCAGGCAAGGGAGCGTTCAAACAGGACTTGGGCTGCGCACGTCCAGACAAGAAAGAGGATGTGTGTACTCCCCACTCACGTGGTGGCCGCTGACCTCTGGTAGTCTGAGCCACATTTCCTCCAAACGCTGACTCTCGAAGTCAGCTGTACAGCTTTGGGCAAGTTACTGAAACTTTCTGTGCCTCAGTTTCCTCATCCTTAAAAGTGGCATTAACAAGGGGACAACACAGGCCTGAAAGGCCAAGCTACCAGCAGAACCCGAGAGCTTCTGAGGTCTCAGGGCCCTGGGCTAAAGTCACATACTGCCTCCTGCTGCTGGATAGCCTCAGGCAGGTGTAGTAGTAGCCGTGCCGCTGGTGCCAGGATGGGGTGCCCTCTGGTGACGCTGGGCCGGCCAGCGGCAGGAGGCTGTCCACACTTTGGTCTCTCAGGTCCAGCCCTGCTTTCTGGACCTCCAGGCAGAGGAGGGAAAAATCTCAGCCTCCAGGTACAAGCAGGAGCTCAGAGCAAGATCTGAGCCAGTGGAGGGATTTGTCCTGATGCAAACAGCTGCATTACCAAGGCTGAGCCCGAGACGGAGACTTTCCTCATGGCATTGCATGCCACCCTCTCCCGAACACTGCCAGGCTACATTATTAGCACTGTATTATAGTCTGAGGGGGGACTGGGGGCCCAGACAGAGTGACTTGCTTAATATTACAACTTCTGGCACAGGGAGCTGGGGAAGGAGCCGAGGCCAGAGGCCATAAACCCAGTGCAAGATGCCATCCTCCTTTCTGCAGGATCAAAAGTGGGTCCTGCTTAGAGCTCTCCCTCACATACAGGCCTAAATTCCATAGGAGCCTCACCTGGCGAGGCCTCACAGCATCTGTTCTCTGACAGCCTGCATGCTGTGGCTTGCTCACGGCTCCTGCTTCCATCTGTAAAGCCTGCAGTTTTGGAGCCGGAGGGATAGGGTTCAGTGGTAGAATGCCTGCTTAACATGTGCAAGGCTCTGGGTTCACTCCCCAGCACCACAAAAAATAAAAATTCAATTACATCAAGTAAGCCATAATCCCCGTGATTTGGGAGGCTAAGGCAGGAGGATCTCAAGTTTGAGGCCAGACTCTGCAACTTAGGGACACTCTGTCCAGATTACTTTCCCCATCTTAAGATCCTTAACTTAATCACACCTGCAGAGTTCCTTTTGCCACTTCAGGTAACATAATCACGGGTTCCAGGAACTATGGACTTTTCCAAAGGTGGAGAGGCGAGAGGTCATTCTGCCCTCAGTATCTTCCTCAGTACTCGATATCTGGCAGTCCACCAGCGTTATCAGGTCCTCCTGAATTCTTTTAGAGATACTTTATCTGTAATAAGTCTACACATGCACACAGTCCCCCCACCCACTTTTTACACAAGTGGCGTCATTGCGTATCAGTGTTGAGACTTCCCTCCCTTTTCTCTCTAAGGCCACATTGAATCTATCATTTGGAAACAGTATCATTCACTTCACCTCTTTTTCCCCTTGCGTTTTTAGGCTGTCTCCCATCCTTTGCTGTTATAATGAGGAAATGACGAACTTTGCTTGTAATTAGTGACACCCAGAACAATCTTATTTTTCAGAATTTGGGGACAACCATTTTAAACATTTTGAAATCTCAGAAAACTTTTTTTTTTTTTAAGACATTGTTGCCTTAGAGATGAAGGTTCTCTGTCCTGCCCCATCACCTGTACCCTTCTTCCTCCTTCCAGAGTTTCTGTAAGATCTGAGCACTTCAGAGCCATCATACCTTGCTTTCTGTTCCTTTTTCTTTTCTTTCCTTCCTAGTACTGGGAATTTAATCCAGGGCCTCACATGCTAGGAAAGTGCTCTAACACTGAGCTCTCTCTTTGGACACAGGGTTTCCCTAAGTTGCTGAGGCTGACCTCCAACTTGAGATCCTCCCACCTCAGCCTTCTGGGCCACTGGGATTACAGGCTTGCACCACCACACCTGATAGCTTTCTGTTCTTGTGCCTCAGTGTGAATAAACTTCTGTGAAGGGTGCAGGCTTCCCAGCTTTGGCGTGTTTAAAATGTTATCTCTTTTGATAGCATAAAAGGCTCTGATGAGAATGTCGGGCTTCAACAAACAGGGGAGAGGTTTCCAATACTCTGAACTCAATGTCCTTCAAGACAGTTTATGCCACGCTGGTCCATAATTCTATCTGGCTGACTCTACTTCCCCCAGACCATGGACATGGGCAGGGGTGAACTCGGAGGCCAAGAGAAGCAGTAAATTTCTCAAGGTCACTAAAGGATTTAATGTGAGTTCAGACCCATCCTGAGTGGCAACAAGAGACACTTCCCTGAGAGGTCTACCGACAGCAGCTTCTGCCTGAGGTCCAGACCCTGCGGTGCCCCTGAGTGTGGATGGGCTTCTGTAGGTTCCACAGTGTCATATGCCTCAGGACACAGGCGAGAAGTGGCCGTGGGCTGGACTTGGCAGTGGTGCTTTTGAAATCCCCAGAGAAAACAGGTCACAGAAAACCCCGCCCTTGCCCAGCCCCAGGGCTGATGGACTTTGGCCCTGCCTCACCTCCTCCCAACCTTGGCCCACTTCCCTTTCCACCCCTGGAGTCCACTGGAGCGGGTTCAGATACAGCACTGCATTGCGAATACTTCATCCTGTATCTCCACCATATAGGATCCGATGCACCCTTTTTGGAGAATATTTTTTCCCCAGAAATGAAAATGTTTACTCAAAAGATAATAATAAATCTAAATTTCTGGGTTACTCTTTAATTTGGAAACTTATAACACTGAGCCTGGGTGGAATTCATGGGTTAGAGCTGAGGGGATGCTGTCACATCTGCTGAGGGTGTGAGGTCCTCATGCCTCAGTCTCCACTGCTCCCTACTGGTCCTACCTGGCCATCTGGCTCGTGCACATCACTGCCCCTGCTCTGGGAAACACTGAATTCTTACAGGAAATTGACCTAAAGGAGGTGTAGAGAAGAGAGAAGGAAAACCACCCAGGACACAGAACTGTGCTCTAATGCGGGTGGACAACAGGCATCCAGAAGCGTGCTTGGAAAGTTGGGAAGTCACCATTGTGGGGGTTGTGCCCAGAGAGAGCAAGGCAGGGAGAGGAGGAGGGTAGCAGAGAGTCACCTACTATGCGCCATGTTCTCCACCGTCATCCACCAAGCTGCCTTAGCAAGGGCAGGGGTTATCTCTACGTCACTGAGGAGGACACTGTGCCAAAGAGCTCAGTAAGCTTCCCTCGGCCGCTTCTGCATTTGGAAGACCATCCTTCTGGCGGATTCCTGGGTGGTCACTTCCTCTCAGACTGTCAAGGTTGGCTGCCCATCACGTCCCCTCAGACTCAGGTGGTCTCCTCTTTTTAGGGCTCAGAATGTCTGCAACCAACCGAGTCGCATCTGCTTCTGCACAGGACCCTAAGATCTGTGAGGTTGGGACCCCACCTGTCCCATTCACAGCCACATGCCCAGGCCTTAGCACTGTGCTCTCACACCCAGGCGAGTGCCCACCAACTGACATCCCATGTCTTCTCCCTGCAGATGGTCCCCTTTTCTGGGACAATCCATGGAGGTCTCCAGGAGGGACTCCAGATCACTATCCAGGGGACCGTTCTTCACTCCTTTGAAAACAGGTATACAGATGGTGCTGCTGTTGTCTCCAGCCTCTTCCCTTAGCAGCCACAGGGTGCTGAGCGTGAAGGGCTGGGCCCTGCCCATGCTTCCCAGCACCACTGAGCATGGGTATCGACTGCAGGGCTCCTTGTCCCCAGAGAACTCAGCAAGGAGGAAAGGGGCCCAGAGTTGCAAAAGCAGAACTCCCTCTGTCCCCTGCTGGCTCCGTCTACTTTGGAGCCCTTCTTTGGCAGATGTGTGGACATATTCAAAAGTCATTTTGTCTCTTTGGTTTTCAAAGCATTTTCTGGAAAATAATAAGTCAGCCAAGATGCTGATCAGTGCTGTTTCCCACCCTCCTCAGTGAAGCGGGGGCTGTCTGCAAATAGGGAAGAGCTCACATGTCCTCTCAGGCTGGAGGGAGGGTCTCTGACCCCCATGCAGGCTTAGCTGACCTCTGCTGAGCAACACTGTCCGGGTGGCACTGAGGTGTGTGGTCTTACAGGTTTGGTTGGGATCTACACAGCTGCTGTCTGCCACTGTCCACAGTGCCTGGGCAAGCCCCTCGGGGCTCAGCTGTCTGTCTCCATCCCAGAGGCCCTGTCATCACCTTACATGGGGCACTAGGACCTCGTGGATCCTCTTCACACCCTCTGATACCTTGAATTGGCAATCTGAATTTGATTGACTTCCTCCACTACTGCCATCCCCCATAACTAGGGTGGACATGGCCACTGTGGACATGGGACATATCCAGGAGCCCTGGGAAATCCTGCAGGAGATTTACTCAAAGCCCTCCAATAGGGCAATCCAGGACCTACCCTGAATTCCCCCCCCACACACACACACATCAGCCTGACCCCCTCCCGCACCAGGAGGAACTCCTACTGCGCCACCCTGTCTACAAGACATTGTCCCTCCAGTTCTGTGACTCTCCCTTGGGAAATGTTGCTCTCGCCCTTCCCTGGAGCAGGAATTTTCAAAACACAGGAATGAAGCTGGAGGGCTGCCAAGGGAGAAATACATCCAGAGATATTTCAAAATCCGCATTCTCCATCCAAAGAGAAATGGCTTTAATTTTGTAACTCTGGTTCTTCCTTCTTCTTAGCACTGCTAGAGACAGGGCCAACAGGGATCTGGGCTTGTTTTCTGGGCCCTGCTGTCATAGAGTTCACAGAGCAACCTGGCTTGAAGGAGTACATCCGTGCTTAGCTGGCCAGAATGTGCCAGAATGTTCTAAAACATGCCCTTTTCCAACAGAAATTGAGTGGGCTCTACAGGAAGTCAGAAGGCTGCCTCTGGGGCATGGTGCAGTGCTGGGCCCCGTGAGGGACAGAGAGGAGGGAAAGCCAAGGCCCTGGCCTGAAGTCTGTGTGGGAGAACAGAGTGGCCAATGAAGCAGGCAGAAGCCGCGTTCATACAGAGCTCAGGGAAGGCTGGACTGCAGGGAAATGCCCCATCTTGAACTTGAGACTTGAACTTGGTTTCAGGGTCTAGATATAACAGAGAAAAGCAGAGAAGACATCTATCAAGCCCCCATTTTGGGAGCCAACTGCCCTGGAAGGTTCTTTGATTTGAAATGGCTCATGTCCCAGGGGAAAGTGTCCATGGTGAGGGGCTTCCTCCCCAAAGAGAGGGATGAACTTGCACTGGGGTCCTCCTGAACATGACCTCCCTCAGGATCTCGTCCTGAGTGTGGCAACCTGAGGGCAGTGTCAGGGGTCTGAGTCCAACCTCACTTGACTTCAGGGACACCAAGTCCACTCCAACACACACCAACATGCAGTGAGCACCAGACTTCACAAAACTCTGCACAGTGACATTTTTATGCTGGTGAGCTGGTATTTATCCCACACTTTCCCTTTTTGACATTGTCTTTGTAGGTACATGGCCACCAATTACAAATGATCTTCAAATTTGTTCTTTTCTTTCCCAGTTGGGCAGGTGGGGGCTGGCTTCCAACACTGACCCCTGCGAGCGTTCACTTGGCACTAAGTCACATGCTTCATGGTTACCATCTTTGACATCCATTTGTAATTAGTTCCCAAGACCCAGGCTTCTTGTGGCTAATGCTAGCTCTTTCCTTACCCATTTTTCTACTTACATATTTTTAGAAAATCACGCTGGAAGGGCAATATACAATAATTGCATGAAAACACATTAGGTCCAAATTAGATGAACAATAACAACAGGAAAAAGATGCCAACAAATTCATGTAAGCTGCGCAGGTTCTATGCAAAGAAGCCCGTGGTGCCAGGCCCTTTCATTCTGATGTTGGCAGTAACCATGCTACGGAAGACTCTTTGGTTTCCCTCTGCCTAGGTTTGCTGTGAACTTGCAGACTGGCTTCAGTGACCAAAACATTGCTCTCCACTTCAATCCTCGGTTTGAAGAGGGAGGGTATGTGGTTTGCAACACGAAGCAGAATGGACACTGGGGGCCCGAGGAGAGAAAGATGCAAATGCCCTTCCAGAAGGGGAAGCCCTTTGAGCTCTGCTTCCAGGTGGAGAGCTCAGAGTTCAAGGTGAGCGGGAAGCCCTCTCCCTGTCCCTCCAGGCTGGGTGAACAGTCTTTAAATACATTGATTGAGATCAGGCCAGAGTGACACCACTACCCAGACCATGGGACTGTGGCTTTCTAGATCGTCACCCGTGGCTGCTAGTCTCCATGTGTGCAGTCACCTGCCCCTGCAGGTGCACCTGTTGCTTCTTTTACTGTGAACATAGGGACTAGATACAACACCGTGGTGTTTTTTGAGCTCTTACGTCTTTAAGTTCAAGATGATCCCATTCCCCTGCTGTAGCCATTCCTCCACTTCTGGAAACATCTCTTTTTTTGGGGTGAGGGACCTTGTTCTAGACTTTATCCAGGTTCTAGTAGCCACGTGGCTTTGTAAGTCCCTGCAAATGACCTTTGCAGCCAGAGCAGTGTCTCTGGGCTTGGGGACCCAGTTGGGGTGAGACTGTCCTTTTCTGTGCTATGTTTCATGGGGTTCCCTGCTTAGTGTGTGACCTGAGATCACCTCCCCCCGCTCTCCATGAGCATTTTTATGCATACCTAGATGCTGCCCCAGGTGACCTGTTACCAGAAAAACGAAGATACAGTAATAAACAAAAAAAACTATAGGAACAAAAAGCCAATGGGAGCTTGGGGTTGGAGGCATTTGACTCACATGTTCCTGTCACTGGTGCAGCCCTGAGGGTCCCCAATGCCCCCTCTGAAGTGGGCTGGTTGTGAAAACCAGGCTCAGGCCTTTGATTCCAAGGCTCCAGGAGCTTGGGCGTGCTCCCGCCCTGGCCCGGGACTCCTCTCCTGGAACACGGTCTCCTTTGCCAGGTGATGGTGAACAAGAACTTCTTTGTGCAGTATGCACACCGCGTGCCCTTCCATCGCGTGGACACCATCTCTGTCACCGGCCCTTTGCAGCTGTCCTACATTGGCTTCCAGGTGAGACTGAACCCTAGGCCCCTGTCCCAGGGCTGGGCCCCAGGGCCCAGGCTGGCTGTGTCTAGACTCTGTGGCCCAAAGTTAACAGCCAATCTCCTCCCCAGGTGGCTTTGGGGACACACTGGTTGGGAACTAACCAATCTTTTTTTTTTTTTTTTAACTTATGAAGAAAAGAGATTTATTTTATTTTATTTTATTTTTATTAGCTACACATGACATTACAATGATCTTGACAATTCATACATTTGAATCAATTGGGGTATAATTTCTCATTTTTCTGATTGTACAGGTTGCAGAATCACACTGGTACTAACCAATCTTGATGGTTGTCTTCCCCGCCTCCTCTGTCACTCTGCCATCCTTGTGTTGCTGTCTCTGTCTGAAGCACCTGCCTTGGTCTCCCAGACCCTTCGGCCTCTCCTCTGACTGTCGCTCTCTATTTCCACCTTGGTTCACAGACCAGGGGTTCCAGAAAGAGCCCAAACTTGGGAACCAGGCAGAATCCTGTTCAAATCCCCAGCTGTTGCCATTCTCACCATCTGTGGGGGGACCAACATCACCTCTCCCCGCCTTGAAAGGACATAGTTACGGCCACTGGGTTGGTGGTTCCTCATCTGTAGAATGGACATAATCATTGCCACTGGGTTGTGTGGTTCTGTGATGCTGTGTAAGTCAGGGTCCAACTCCACAGCCCACTTTGTTGAGGGTTTGACCCTCCCTGTTTTAAAATATCTAAAAGCTGAGGAGACATCATGTGAAAAATGGGAAGGTTGGGGTGTTCTGGACCCACAGTAGGTCCTCAATAATCACGAGCTCCTTTCCCTCAGAGCTTCATCCCTCACGTCCCCTCCCTCCCTGGCAGGGGAAAGACAGAGAGAAGGAGAGGGAGGGAGACTGCCCACCTGCCATTACTCACCCAGCAGCCCCTTCCTCGCCCTCGACCCACCTGGTCCTGAGCTGGCTTCTGGGTCCTGTGTCTGCCTGGCCGCTGCTCCTGCCCGACCTCTTTCTTCTCTTCCTTGGCTCCATGGATGCTCCAAGTCAACCGGTGGTGCCTTTTGTTTTAACAGAGGTCTCCAGTCCAGCCGGCTTTTCCCATCATGCACTTCTCCCAGCCTGTCTGTTTCCCATCGAAACACAGGGGGCGCAAACCAAAAGTGAGTTAAAGATGGAGGCCGGGAGGCTGAGCAGACAGCAGGAAGGACAGAGGGCCCACAGGCCGCTCCAGCCTGTCACACCCGCTAGGGGATTCCCCGTCTGCTTCCACCAGGCACCCAGAGCTGGGGACCTGAGCAGTGTCCTGGGTCCCCATCCCCTCCTTGATGCTCAGATCACCTATGTCTCTCCCTCTCCAAAGCCTCTGCCATGGCCCAGAACATGGTGACTCCTCATTGTGACAGCCGTGGTCCAGCTCCTCACAACCCCACTGTGCAATCCCTTCCCATGAGCACACCCGTCCTGGTCTCAGCCTCGGCCCTTCTGAAGGAAGCCCCAGGTCCCCAGAGGAGCACAACAGAATGTCCCCAGATTCGCCTCCGCCCACCTTCCTGCCTTCCAGCGCGGCCCACTCATAAAGAGCATGCAGCCTCTGCTGTTCCCTCGAGGCCTCTCAGGCCACCATGCTTTTGCCCATGCTGTCCCCAGAGCTGAAGCCACCATGTGCCCATCTCACCCCTGGCAAGCCCCTCACCGCACAGTGATGCTCTGCTTAGATGTCACTCCTCCAGGGAGTTTTTCCCGTCAGGAAGGCTGCCAGACGCTCCCCTCTGTGTCCCCATGAACTTTGTCCATATCTGTGCCATGCAGTCACCATGTCCTATTATAACCATGCTTATGTGTCTGTCCCTGTCACTCTGCTGCCCCCCTCCCTGTGCCCACAAGCCCCTGGAGCACTGGCACTGTGGCACCATTATTTGGACACCGTCACCTTGCACAGAGTCTGGCACAAAGCAGGGACCCAAGAAATGAATACGGGCTCTGGTTCCCACAGCCAAGTACAGGAGGAAGCAAGCCAGGGCCAGAGTGGCCTTCTGGGAGGGGCAGGATCTGGGACAGGAAGGCAGCCCTTCCCCTGGCTACCAGAGCAGTGGGAGAGGGGAGAGCGCTCTGACTACCCAGGCTCCGCATGGCCCATGATGACATGGACGTGCTCGGCTCACAATGGGGCCTCTGGTGAACACTGGTTTTCATCTGATGGGTGGAATAGGGCATCAGGCTGTTGCCTCTGGGGATTCAGGGAAGCAATATGGCCTGGGTTGGACCCATCTGGGGCAGCCAAGGGCACATCCTCCTCCCCAGCCCTGAGACCTGTGCACTTGAGGGTGAGAATCTGATGCCGCAGGCTTAGGAAGGGAGGAGGAGGGAGGTGAGTGTCAGGGAAGTCATTTCTGACCACAAGAAGCCCACCTGGAGGTAGGTAGCCATGCCTCCTCCACCTGGAACCAGCCATCATTTTGAGTTTTCTTGTCTTCTCAGCCTCCAGGCATTTGGCCTCCCAACCCGGCTCCCATGGTAAGTCAGCCTCTCTCTCTTCTGGTCCTCTTCATTTTGTTTCTTCCTGTGGGTTAAAGGGAGGAGGCATGGCCAGGCATTGATGTCTCTCATAAGAAAGTGGGCAGCTAAGGCCAGCCCCGCGGACCACCTGCCTGGCCTCTGGGTGTGGTGGAGGGACCTGGGGGTGTGGCTGGTTGGCCCCATGCAACAGGGAACCACCTGAACGGCCACTTGTCTGCAGAGGCCCCACATTCCCCTCTCTTGCTTGCAAAGTACAGCTGTGCAGACGGAAATTCCCAGAGAGGAAAGAGGGGCTGGGGCAGACGTGTCTCTTCTCTGGAGCTCTAACCTTTGGTCCCCCGCATTCCCTTGAGCTTAGAAATAACTCTATCCACCCTCTCTGAACCTTGGTTACAGCTCAAGGTTAACTCTCTTCATAGTGTGCGTGCGTGCGTGCGTGCATGTGTGTGTGTTTGTGTGTGTGTGTGTCCACTGGTGGTAGGTGGTAGCATTCACGCTAGTGGGAGCTGGGAGCTGGTTGAGACTTGGTTTCTTTCTTCCAGACTCAAACTGTTATCCACACGGTGCACAGCACCCCAGGACAGATGTTCCCTGTAAGTCTAAAAGTTCCTTTTCAGCTCCTAGCCCCGTGGCTTCCCTCTTGAGCACCAACAGAATTCCCTAGAGTCCCAGCACTGGTTTAGCAAGTCCTAAAGTGGTTTATCAAGGAGGATGGGGACAGATGGGGCTGAGCCCCCCCCCCCCGCCCCCGTCAGGAGATGTCCAGTTAAAACTCTCTTTGGGACAGTGGAGATTCTGGAACAATCTTCAAATAAGCAGGTCTGCTAGGGACCAGCAGAGAAATGGTTCCTTCTGCTACCAAGAGAGGGAAGGATGGTGGCCCCAAATCCTGGATGTGAGGTTCCTAGACTTGGATCCCGAGGACAAGTCCCTGCAATGTCACTACTGATCACAGTCTTGACCTTTCTCCTCCTCCTGCCATTGCAAATCAAGTGGGGGCCTGGATTGAGTGGGGCTTCTGTGGAGGTGCTGAGAGAGAGGTGTCCGTGATGGGTCCAGGAACACACCAGGAAGTTTCAGGAGGGCTGATGGAAGGCATGTGGCAGAATCCAAGGGCTGAGCCCTCACAACTCAGTCTCCCACTGGAGCGTACTCTAGTGTGTGTGTGTGTGTGTGTGTTTGCACATGTGTTTCCACATTGAATTTTCTGGTCTTTCTTCAACAGAGTCCTGCAATGCCACCTATGGTGTTCCCCAACCCAACCTATGTGAGTAGGTTTTCGGAGGAGGCAGGAGATTTCATTTGTGTGGGGCAGGGAGGGAGGGCAGGGCCACTGGGGATGGTCCTCTGACTTGCATAATTCAAGGCAGTCCATTGTCAAACTGATTTTAAAAGCATCCACATAAATTAGAAGACTGTCCAAAGGAGCCCTCAACTCTGAAGTGGTCTCTTCAAGTGAGCAAATTAGGATTTTCCTTTTTCCACCCCAAGAACCCTTTGGTGTTGGCCAAAGTTCCTTCTGTGACATTTTAAGCCCACTGCCTTGGAGAATGCTGAAAAGTTATCCTTTGGCTTGACTGAGCCAGGTAAAGATGTCCTAGGGCTCCTTCTGGAAGATGTCCTGCTCACAGGCACAGTTCCAGACTTGGCTGATGGGACACATCTGTGGAAGCTGGTACAGGATTCTCAGGGGCAGGTGTGGCTCTCTGGCTGCTGCTGCTGGCTGACTTGTCCCCACCCTCCCAACAGCCGATGCCTTTCTTCACCAGCATCCCAGGGGGGCTGTACCCATCCAAGTCCATCATTGTGTCGGGCACTGTCCTGCCAAGTGCTATGAGGTAAGACAGGGCCTCCAGGGCTATCAGAATAGAGAGAGACCCCCATGGTCACTCTGGCCATCTCTCTGGCTCCCAACAAGTTGGGGATTGTGGGGAAGGGCTGGGTCCCAGAGTTCAGTGGACAGAGAGGGTCCATGTGAGTTGCCTCCCACCCCAGGTTCCATATTAACCTGCGCTCTGGGAGTGACGTCGCCTTCCACATGAACCCCCGTTTTGATGAGAATGCTGTGGTCCGCAACACCCAGATCAACAGCTCTTGGGGGTATGAGGAGCGAAGCCTGCCCCGAAAAATGCCCTTCACTCGAGGCATGAGCTTCTCGGTAAGTTGCTGTGGCCTAGAGCTCAGAGGGAGGGGCTCACAGGGGGCAAGAGGAGAAGAGGTGGAGGAGTCTGGGGGTACCTGGAACAGCATGGGGGCTGAAGCCTGAGGGATGAGGACTGCACCCCAAGGAAGAGAGAATGTTAACAGGTTATTATTATTTCCATGATCACTGCCCCCCCCCCCCCCACATAGCAGGTGTCAGTGTCTGCTTTTCACATATGGGCAAACAAACTCGCAGGACACAGGTCACACGGCCAATCTGTGCCAAACGGAACCCAAGAATGAGGCATGATTCATTTGCTCCCATCTTCACTCTGCAATCACTTGCTGACCACTTTATGGGGGCCACCTTATAGGAAGTAGCCCACTTGCTGTGGATGCAGCCACCAAGATGTCAGGCAGGGTCCTGCCCCCACGCAGTTCATAGTCTAGATCGGGGAGGAAGAAGGAACAGTCATGAACTGGTCACTGCAGAGAAGGGACAGGTCCTTACAGAAAGGGAAACTGAACATGGGCTGGAGGGAGCCCGGGGCGGGAATGGCAGGGAGCTGCCTGTGTCTTGCGCAGAGGCAAATGGGGTCCATCTGGAGCCTCAAGGGCAAGGGGTGGGGGATAGAGAGCCAGGGCAAGAGAGGTGCAGATTAGCAGGAGGCCTGACCACCCAGAGTGGGCCTTCTCCACCTTGACTCTGCAGTGGATTCACTCAGAGAGCTTAGAAAGACAAATCAAGTCCAGGGCCCCCACCCCAGGTCAGTGAGGTGATCAGACTGGGCCTCTGTATTTTTAAGACACTCCCTAGGTGATACATCTGCAACCAGGGTTGAAAATGACTGGTGTGGGCCTTTGTGGGCCATGAAAGGGGCTTGGATTTTAATACAATGAGAAGCCATTGGAGTGTTTCAAGTCCGAGAACAATAACCTTGATTAGTAAGCTCTGAGACCTTGGGGAAGTGACACATGCTCTGCGTCTCAGTTTCCTCATCTATAACATGGAGTAATAATACTAGAGATCAGAGAACTGTAAGAATGGAATGAGACCAGATCTGTGCATGCTGAGGGCAGTGCCCAGCACAGAGCAAGGGGGCTGTGCTTGCCATCGCCAAGGGTGATGAGGTTTCGAGGTTTGTTCCCTGCCTGCCTCGTGTTGAGGCCTCTGGTTATAAAGAATGTTAGGAGGCTGCTGCAGGAGTCTAGGCCCTGAGCACTGAGGACACAGATAGCCCAAGATAGCATCTCATCCCAACTGGAGAGTGGACTGGGGAGGCAGGTGGCTCGACAGGGAGTGGGTCAGGGAAGGCTTGGGTCCTGGAAGGTGATAGGCAGAGGCAAAGGTGTGCAGGGTGGGAACAGCATTCCATGCTCAGGAAGGGCATATGCTAAAGTACCAGGGAAGGAGAGCGCATGGGTATTTATTGAGGAGCAGATATTTCCGTGTAGCCAGAATGCAGGGGTGGGGCTTATTAATGGCCAAGGCAGGAGGGAGGGAAAGAAGGAGATTCAAGCCCTGCGTTTAGGGCTGCTGATTTTCCAAATAGAAGTGACAGGGCTTCTCTGTTCAGGTATGGATCATGTGTGAAGGTCACTGCCTCAAGGTGGCTGTGGACGGTCAACACCTGTTTGAATACCTCCACCGCATGAAGAACCTACCGGCCATCAATAACCTGGAAGTGGCGGGTGATGTCCAGCTGACCCACGTGCAGACATAGGTGGGCTCCCTGGCCTGAGGACAGGGCTGGGATGTGGTGCTGAGTTTCCTCATCATCTCCACTCCCCTGTCTCAGCCCCAGCCTCCCGGATGCTACCATGCAAGCAGAGGGTGTTCAGAACTGGTGAAGCTGTGTTCACCCCCCTCAGCAGACACAGAGTCTCCAGAGCTTCCCAAGCACCCAGTCCAGGCCTGTGTTGAATGTGGCACATTCCTGTCCCAGGTCTACTCCAGTCCCCAGCCAGAGCTATGCACTCCTTGCAGTGAGGAGACCTCCTCGGCCCCACCCCCTTCTCTGACCCTTTCCTTCTTTCCTTCTCACCTGGCACCCAGCTCAGCCCCCCACCCCTCCAGGAAACTACCCTGATTCCATCCCCCCTGGGCTTCCACCAACTCTCTTTCCCAGGGGAAAATAAGGAAAATGAAGGAATAAATATGGTTGCTGGCAACACATGGGGAAGACCGTGGTTTATTAAATGTGTCTGGAGACACTTGGGAGTCTCTGGAACTGGAGGTCCCTGCCCAGGGACTGGGAGAGACAGTGTGGGCTCCCTTTGGGAAGGGGGATCCTGACATCCACACCTACTCACAGTGAGTCCCTTGCAAACCCCAGGAGAGAGCTGGGGAAAGCAGGAGGACATGGAATTCTTCTGCAGGGGTCTCTGGACCTCAGCAGCTGGGTGAACCTGGAAAACAGCTCCATGCTTCTGAGTTGGAAGAAGGGTTGGGACAGAGCCTGTGGGGGCCCTGGAAGAGCCTCATCAGAACCTTGTGCCCAAGTGGGAGGAGGAGGCAGGCAGGACAAGAAGCTGATTCCAAAGCTGTCCCAGTCATGATGTGCAAGGGGGAAGTGGCTCAGTGTCTGGGGATCTGTCGGCCGGTGGGCAGCAGAAGGGAGCCCAGCTGGATGTCCAGGTGATGCCATTTTACTCTGCTCACTCCATCAGAACCCAGCCCCAGGAGCCAGGGTGGGGCTCAAAGAGTGTTCAGACCAGTGGGCGCCGACATGACCTGGGAGCTGATTAGAAATGCAGCACCTTGGCCTGGTGCAGTGGTGCATGCTTGTAATCCCAGCAGCTTAGAGAGCCTGAGGCATGAGGATTTCGAGTTCAAAGCCAGCCTCAGCAACTTAGCAAGGCCCTATCTCTACATAAAATACAAAAAAAGGGATGAAGATGTGGCTCAGTAGTTAAGTGCCCTGGGTTCAATACCTGGTACCCCCCCCCAAAAAAAAAAAGCACCTCGGGCCCCACCCAGACCTACTGTATCAGGTCTGCATGTTAACAAATCCCGGGTGACTCGAGTGTACATTAATTTGTGAGAAGCCTTTGGTCTAGGCCACTGGACTCTGGGCAACTAGACTTTGGGAAGCCCCTTTCCCCCATCCCCCACCTCCATGAGAGTAGCTGCTACCAGAAGTGGCAGGAGAGGAGGGGAGAGCAGGTGAGGGAGCCCATGAAGCAAGGGCCAAACTGAAGCTGAGAGCAGGATTTCTCTAGACCACCACTTGTCCCCAACTGAGACCTTTTTGTGGTTCTGACCAGAAGGAGATGCAGCTCTGTCGCTTAAGAAGCTCCCCTGGTCAGGAGGCTGAGGAAGGAGGAGTGCAAGTTCAAAGTCAGCCTCTGCAACTTAGTGAGACCCTGTCTCTAAAGAAAAAGAAAACAAATACCAGGTCTGGGGGTGTGGCTCAGGGGTTAAGCACCCCTGGGTTCAACCCCTACCCCAAAAGAAGCAGCTCCCTGGCTGGCTTCAAATCAAGAAAGGACCACAGTCTCCCAGGGGGGCAAGGGTAATGCATGCCCTTACCCTCCACAAAGTCTTCCACAACCAGGAAACCTCACCTGCTTTCCCCATGTGCTAAATCGCCAAGTGGCCAAACAGGTGGCTACAGAACAAACCCCTTCCTAAGACAGGGCGAGGGTCCAGGCCTTTGCTAAAATCTTGGCACTATGTGCATAATTCCGCTGCTCACCACACCTTTCATCAGATGCTTTCTGAGTGAAATACAGCTCCAGCCCCTTGCCTATGCCCCCCATCCCTTTGTCCCTGTGTGGGACACATCAGTCCTTCTCCATAAGACTTAGATCTGCTTTCCTTACAAAACAATCCCCCCTCCAAACACACACATACATATACAGGTTGGTTAAAATAGAATGCATTTAATATAAATATTATATTAAGGAATCACAGAGGAAAGGTCCAAGGGGCTGTTGCGAGTGGGGTTGGGGGTTGTTTTTTTTAAATACGGGGACATAAATAACTGTACACAAGGCAGCTAAATACAGAGTGTTGTGATAGCGCCTCCTGGTGGCCACTTACAGTGCTGCAACCAGAATAAGGTTTCCCCTTTTCCTCCCCCTCTTGCCAGGCCTGGCTCACCGACTGAACCTCCAAGGGGCCAGCGAGCCCCCCCCCCCCCCCCCGCACTCCATTGCCCAAGGAAGGGTGGGCTCAGAGAGAGTTCTGGTTCCAACCAGCCCAGGATGCTACTTGGTAGTAGGTCAAGTAGAAGGATGGTGGAACTAAGAAGGGCTTGGAGAGATTGCCCTTTTCCAACTCCCCAGGACCTTGTCCTCAGCTTGAGAGTCGACTCCGTCATTAAATTCCATGCCAGCAGCTTTCACTGCTCCAATGGTCGTCAGAGGCCTGTGTTGGGCCGTCCCGCGGCCCTGTCCTTTTTCACCTCGTAGGGAAACACAGCACCAAAGACATCTTCATGATAGCGCTTCTGGCTCTTGAAGAGAAACAGGGGCCACGAGGTCAGCCCTGCTGGCTCAGCCTCCCTGCCCTACTCACCAAGCCCTGGCTCCTCTATGACACGCAACAGGCCAGCAGGAGCCCTTTGGTGTGGAGAGTGCACTTGGATCTGGTTTATGCCCCCAGCCCCATTAGCGCCTGCTCTGGTGTGAATCCTCTCAACATCTCCTGAAGCTCTGCAGGTGGATGGCATTCCTACTTCCTGCCTAGTGTTCGTCTCACTAGATGCCCCAGAAAGTGGCATAAGTCTGAGATAAGTCTGGGTGGGAATTACTGTGCACTTTCTCTCCCCTCCTCCACCCCAGTCTTAAACTGTCATGATACATCTGATGGTACACCAGTGTGTTTGCCTTTGTTTAACTGAGCACGTTCTAAACTCTCTGACCCTGGAATTTACCAACTCTGAACACATTTTGGGAGACATTTGTGAGGTCTTGCTGTTCTTCACACACATATGCTAACGCCACCCCAGGGCCTTCGTGCATGCTGTTCCCTAAAGAGCAGCCTAGAATGCCATCTCCCTCATTACCCACAAGGCTTCTTCCTCACCTGCTTCAGGTATTTTCTCAACTGTCAACTTCCAGTGACATCTTATTTAAAACAATAGGCCCCTAACTCTCCCTCAGCAGCCTCCCTGATGCAGTATCCATTGTACATGTTCTGTTGTATCAGTCCTTCTAGAATGTTCCATCCAGGCAAGGATTTGCTTGTTCTATTTACTGCTCTATCCCTGTCACATAGTAGGTGCTCAAACATGATGAACATAAGAACGTGTCTTAGGAAGAGTATGGAAGTGGTGAGCACAGGCTTTGGGGCCAGAGACAGAGTGCTAGGCTTTCAGCTTCACTGTTGTGGACCCCGGGGGGCTCCCTCCCTCTGTAAAATGGGGGTGTAAATGTGCCTCCCTCATGAAGCCCTTAGAAGGAAATGCCTCATGGGTGCCGTAGTCCGGCTGGGTTAAATAACTGAGAGGTGACAAGCAACTTGAAGGTTGAATCGGGAACTACTTTATTGCGAGTGAACTCAGCAGGAACTGAACGAGAACTCAAAGTAGCAGGCACCCGAGATAGCAGGAGCCCTTCTCTGCCGGACAGCAGAGGTATATATACTTAACTAATTACACACAGCTTAACTCAATTATCATAAACTAGATACAGCAGTCAACCAATAAGGAATCCTCATCATCTTAATGGCTCGCTGGCGTTGCTTCACAGACCACTCCTCCTGGCAAAGTGCCAGGCACCATCTGGACTTGATTACAGACCTCAACACATGGGAATCCTCCATAAGCACCTGGCCCCAGGTGGGCCCCTGATGAACACTGTGGCTGTTACCATCATGAAGCGAGTGTCCTTCCCACTGGGGGCTGAGGACAAGCAGACAGCATCCTGGGTGTAAATAACAGGTGCTTCCTGCATAGGAGGCTGCCAAAGGGGACAAGTTTCCTACCCGGTGTTTGTTACTCTGCTCTGGCTACACAGCTGCTCTCTGAAAGGGGCCTGGAGAGAAGCCAGAGAGGTCCTCCTGCTCCCATTTCACACATGGAAAGACAGAACACGTGGACCTGCCTTCTTAAAGCTGACAGGCAACCACACCAGGGGGTAGAGTTAGGCTTTCCGATAGCCCATCTGGACTGCTCTGGGGTTCCTTTGGGGCCCAGGAGTGTCCTGGGATTTTCCTGATCCTGTCGCCCTGGTCCTAGCTCCTGCAGCCTGGACCCTTGACTATACCCCCGAACCCACACACCAGCTCCCCATACCTTGAGCTGGAAGAAAAAATCCTCAACCTGCTCTTCACTCAAGCTCAGCTTGGTGGCCACCAGCTGCTTCAGGGTGTGGGCCACATCTCGGGCCATACGCACATCCCCACAGACATAGAGGTGGCCCGGGGACTCATGCAACACGCGGAGGACCTCACCAGCCAGCTGCTCCCGCAGAATGTCTTGAACATAGACCTGAAATCAGAGGATACAGTGGGTCTAGTCCCTAGCCCCTGGGAGAGAGGCTGGGGGTCAAGCCTGCTGTCCTCTGTTAGGGGAGATAGGGATGTCAGGGAGTAAGCACCCTCCCAGGCAGGACAGTGGCTCAGTATGAGAAGGCACACTGACACCTAGCCCAGGCCAGGGGGCCCCCCGGATTTTCTCCAAATTCATCACACTTCAAAGAGGCATCAATCAAGTCAACCCCCTGCCCAGGGCTCTGAGGCCTGCCTGCCTACACCCTAGAAAGGGCAGCCTCCCAATGCCCAGGTTCATTGATTCAAAGCTGGGGTGCAGGTTTCCAGGCTTCCCAGTCACACAGAGGGTTCAGAGACAATTGGGATTCTGTTGTTGTTCCACACCAGATGTCCAGTGGGCCCAGAAAGGGGCTCCAGAGGAGTCTTCAGGAACAAGTTCATAACTGCTGAGCCAAAAGTTTGTCCAAACTCCCCAGGCTCCTGGGGCCCAGTGCAGTAGCTGCTGTCTAACCTTGTCAGCTGGAGTGTAAACCAGCCGGACCACCTCTCCCTGGGCAGCCATATGTCCCAGGGGGCTGCTGGGGGTCTTCAGCAGGCTGGGCTCTGGGGATTAACCAATAGTGTCACCCTGAGTTGATCCTAAACCTCTCTGGGCTTGTCTCTTCTCCTGGACTACAGGGCACAGTGCTCTCCACCGTGTCACCCTGATGGGTGTGTATGTCTCCACTTTCCAGCTGAGGAGATGGAGGCTCAAGGGGGCCAGGGGTGTTTGCCTGGTGTCCGCTCACCGCTGCACTCACCTTGGGCTTGCCGGGCAGCCGAGAATAGGCTGTGTGCACCTCATGCAGCACCCCCTTCCGGGCCATCTCCAGCATCTCCTCCCGATACAGGTGGTCCTCCTCTGGGTGGCGGCACCCGAACACCAGAGTCATGTGGCCTCTTTGGAGCCCTGTAAGACCCAGCAGACTGCAGTTACCAACACGGCCACCAGAGGGCAGATCACAGCTCAAAGTGACCAACTAGAAATCTCTTCAAGGGTCCTGTCGGGTATAATCTCCATTTTACAGATGAGGAAACCAGAAATCAGAGGCCCAGGCCATAACTGGGCACACAACTGAAGTGCAGGCACAGGAGTTCGTCCAGCTCACCACAGGTCAAAAGTGGGGATTTCCCCCATTATTCCCAGAGAAATAATGCACAGGCCAAGGCAAAGTCTGGAGGAAGGTCTTCCTCTGGACAGGGTCCAGGAAACATCTGTGGGGTGGAGGCAGAGTTCTTCTAGGCAGGTGGTGACCATCTGATGCTGTGCCCCACCCAGGTACCTTCAAGCTCTACCTGATTAGGATCCTATTTTATTTATTTGTTTTTCAGTACTGGGGATTGAACCCTGGGGCGCTTTACCACTGAGTATATCCCCAGTCCTTTTTATTTTTTATTTTCAGACAGAATCTTGCTAAGTTGCAGAGGCTGGCCTCAAATTTGTAATCCTCTTGCCTGAGTCTCCCAAGTAGCTTGAATTACAGGTGTGAGCTACTGTGCCCGGCTTTCTATTTTATTTAAAAAAAATTTTTTTTTTTCAATACGAGGTATGCAAATCAGAAGATAATGAAGGGCTGGGTGCAGTGTATGCACCTGTAATACCAGTGGCTCGGGAGCCTGAGGCAGGAGGATCACAAATTCAGTGAGACCCTGTCTCTAAATAAAATACAAAATAGGGCTGGGGATGTGGCTCAGTGGTGGAGTAACCCTGAATTCAATACCCAGTGCCAAAAGAGAGAGAGAAAAAAAAGATAATGATGGCAGTTTTCAAGATCACACATTCATCTGGGTGCAATAATGCACTATCATCCCAGTGGCTTGGGAGGCTTAGGCTTAGGCAGGAGGATCACAAGTTCAAAGCCAGCCTCAGCAACTTAGTGAAACCCTGTCTCAAAATAAAATGTAAAAAGGGCTGGGGATATGGCTCAGTGGTTAAGTGCCACTGGATTCAGTCTCTGGTACCACCCCCCCCCCCAAAAAAATCACACATTCAATACCAATCCTAAGCCAATACATTGTTCTTTTTTTGTGTTGTGTGTGTTTTTTCTTTTAAAATATACATGATTATCGTCCAATTCATGGAGCACGGTGTGAAACTCTGACACTTGCATACAGTGAATAATGATCAAATCGGGATCATGAGCATTGGCTAGGCCTCACCGTGGGCTGTACCTTTGTGCTCAGAGTCATGGAGCCGCTGCTGCCAGAAACTGCGGAAGGGCGCGATGCCTGTGCCGGGCCCAATGAGGATGCAGGGATGGGAGGGGTCCTCGGGCAGCTGGAAACTACTGGCACTGAAGGGAGACAGAAGAAGAGAGGCCACATCCTCAGACACCCTGGGCTGGTGCAGGTGCAGGACAGGGGCTGGGATGCTGGGTGTGTGGCCAGGGGGTGGTGTTGGGGATGGAGGAGAACGAGCTCCAGGTCAACTTCCTGCCGGCCACCTCCCTTGCCCTGTCCAGGCACATCATCTCCCCACCCAGGAGCCTTCTGAAAAGACCTGACCCCACTGTACTCTGGGCACCTGCTAGAGACTCAGCCAAGGGATAAAATGGGGAGGCCCAGTGTGGCCTCAGTACTTTCTCAGTACTGGACCAAGTGGCCCAGAGGGGCACCTAACCCCCAATCTCTCTCTCTCATCCCAGGACACCCAGAGGTCAGTGGTCCCACAGGGATGGGAGGGTGTTTACCTTCGCACAAAGCAGGGCACTGGGTCCTGGGGCATCAGGCTGCTGAGCCACGTGCTGCAGACGCCGTGGTGCAGTGGACCCTGGCCACCTGCAATGACAGAACAGACTTGACCAATGTTCCCCCTCCAGCCTGCAGGCGACCCTGTCAGCTGCTCCTCCCACACTGACGCACCCCCTTGGGCTGGCCTGCCCACTCAGACGCTCTAAGGGCTGAATGAGGGGCTGTGTGACTCTGGTTCTGGGGTCCACCCTCTACACATCCAGAGCTGGGAAAGGCTGCCAAGGACTTGGCAGGCAAGGTGCCCCTTTTACCTCTCAGAAACCGAGTCTCAGAGAGGGAAAGTGGCTTGACAGGTTGCTCAGGTGGTGGATGGCTCTGGGTCCCTGATTCTTACTCGATTGCTTCTTCCAAGAGTTTCTCCAGGGACGACCCCCCCACACCCAGTCCCCAATCAGCTTGGAGATGGCCACTGCTGGGTGTGTCCTCATGAGGGTAGCCTTGCAGGTATAGCCTGGGTGGGGGATGCCTCCCGCTCACCCCGCCTGATCTGATGTCACTCTCTTTCCTTGTAGTCCCTCCTGGCCTTCAGGCCCTAGGACTGAGACCTGGTCCATGGGGAGCTCTCTGGTGGACTGACACAGCCTCTGTGAGCTCTTAGAAGCTGTGTGACTATTCTTCACAGAGGATGGGGGGCTCCCAGTGTGGCCGGATCCCAGCTTGCCACCACAGATAATGCTGAATGACAGGGGCCAGGGAAGGGGACCAAGTGTGTCCAGGGAAAGAGCCAAGACCACACAAGGGATTGGCCTCTCCATGAGCTCCATCATGGTCCTCTACACGTTCCTTCTTGGCTACTTAATTATTTCCATGCCTGTCTCTTCTTTGTCTCTCTAGATACTCCATGAGCACAGGAGCTATGCCTGCTGCGTTTCCACACCCATCATGGTGCCCAGCAGAGAAGTGTGACATAAGCCATCCCTGAATGAATGGAATGAATGAGTGACCAACCAAGTCAGAACCACCCTGTGCTCAGGATGACTCCCGGGGGACTAAGAATCACTGGGCTCCCCTTGAGTGTTGGATGGTCTCCCCATGTGATCTCATTAACTTGTCTCAAAGTGATGAAGAACCAGGATTCAGCAATTAAACAAACCGGGTTTGAATCTCAGCTGTCCACTTACAACTAGTGTGACTTGGAACAATGGCTCAGCTTCTCTGTGGAATGCACAGAACCTATCTCACCTGGCTACTGACCCTAGTGATTCAAAGCAGTGAGCTTAGCGCCTGCTCTGTGGTGATCTCTTCCGCACACCTAGAGTATGATTGACAACTCTGGGAGGGGGCGGGGTTACCATTCTGTTTAACTAATGAGACCAAAACTCCCAGATGTTGAAAAGCTGCCCCAGAAGCAGGAGAGCTGCGCCCTTCACCTTGGGTGCGGTAAGTGACCACGGCCACGGTGAGGTGGACCTCTGTGGGTGTGTGGTCCCGGGAGGAGCTGATGGAGTAGTAGCGCGGTTTCAGAAGAGGGAGCTGGGAGAGCAGGAAGGCAGCCGGTACCCGCAGCGATGGGAACTCCTCCAGCACCTCCAGGAACGTGGGGCTGTTGGTGGACTTCCACTTGTTGTATTCTGAGGGCTGAGAGTCAAGGGCAGGGTGAGGACTCAGGGTGCCTGCCCCGCCCACTATTCACCCTTCAATCCCTCAGCGTGCGCTGTCCAGGGTGCTGAGACTCCCAACCTGCAGAGGAAGCGCTCCCGACCTGGAGTAGCATTTGTCTAACTGTGTGCCCAGAACTCTGCTGTGGGCAGCTCAACTCCATTGCGATCTAAATCGGGGCAAGGCTTTGGAACCAGTTAGATCTGGGTTTGAATCTTGGTCAGACACCCTTCCAAGCTATAGAACCATCCCCCTTACTTAACCTTTGTGAAGCAAGGACAGTGTCACTGCCCACGAGGGGACATTGTGAGAATTAAATGAGATGGCATGTGTCAAGTCAGTACAGCACAGCTGGAAAGTACAGTAGTGGGAGGGTTGGGATAAAGATGATTAGCCACAATGAGGATGATGATAACGATGTCTGGTGACTCTTAGCAAAGACTTGGGCCCAGAAGCTACAGGTGAGTTAATGCATGCTCTCATTAAGATGCTAATTCCGCTCTCTGTCACTGCATCACTTATCCATTCGTCCACACCACCCCTTCTCTCATGCTTTTAAGTGACATGTTTTGAGAGGACAAGGACAAGCAAGACATAGTGGATCCTCTTTTTAGCTCATTCCCAAGGAAGTGCACTTTGGCTACATCCTGCTGGCACTGAGAAAAATTCAGTTTATTCCACACAACTGTGTCCTACAGCAAGGATGACAGACAATGTCCTGCTTCCCACTAGCCCTTGACAAGTCTCGCCTTGGGAATCTGGGGAGATCCTCTTGAAGGTTAAAGATCCACTCTGGGAACTTCCCCGGCCTCACCCACCAACCCTGACATTTACCTGGCACAGGGTCTCCAGCCTCTGTCTCTCAGACTCCTCTGTGGCCAGCCTGGCCAGTTTTTGGAGCTGCAGAGGGGTTGGGGGCGTGGTGATGTCCAGGAAGTAGGTGAGGGCCTGACTGAGCGAGCAGGGGGGCAGCCTCTTGTCCCTGATCCAGTAGCTGCCTGCAGAGGGAAGGAAGGCATCAGGAGAGGAAAATGCCCCACCTGAGTTTCCCGGAAGGAGATGGGACTCTGGGAAGACACACTTTATGCTCCAGCTGCAGGGGAGAAAAGAAGGTGGCACCCAGAGATAGGGCTGCCAGGAAAGGCCGACTCTCAGGGGACTAACAGTCCTTCAATACGCATCCAAAATGATATGATCCTATTCCTACAAACTAACCACGTCCTTCTCTGGCCTATACCTGCACATTAGCAAGATATCCACAGTGAACTACAGACTCCCACTGGCTAAATTCCACCGGAGTCTGATGTATAGTCCAGAGGCCTCTTGTTCATTTAGAGAAAAACTCATGACCACCATGCCCTTGGGTATTATACCAAGAGGTGCTGGCTGAGCAGGTGATTAGCCCAAAGTGAGATGGCAAGGGTGAAGGAGTCCCAAGGGGCAGTGTGCAGGGTAGTCACAGCATGGATCCTGGGGCCAGCAGACCTGGGTTCAAACTCTGGCTCCCTGTTTCCTGTCTGAATGACTGAACCATAGGGTTTTGGGTTCCTTCCCTGAGAAATGGATATGATGACAAAACCTATCTTACTGAGCTTCTACGAACATTGAATAAAATCAGGCATGTAAAACAGTTGATACAGTGCCCTGTACACAGGTACTCGATAAATGTTGGTAAAGATTATAATAATAATAATTATTATTTCATCTGGGCCAGAAGTCTGATGAACCACAGGGGCATCTCTGGCTACTCATCCCTTAGTTTCAGGCTCTCCCCATTTCTCCTGGGCAGGGAGAGACGAGGCCCAGCTTTACTTCTCTGACCCCCACTTTCCTATCTTGGCCTCTGTGCTTAGAGGGTATGTTCTTTGGTGGTATCAGTAACCCCAAGGACACTAAGGCCAGGGAGCTATTCCTACAGGCCGGGGCTGGGGTAGCTGGCCTGGGGTAGGTAGGGGCCCAGCCCTGAGCTGGCTGGAGAGGGGCTCCCAGCCAAGGGCTCACCGCTGTCATCCAGGGCCTCCAGGCGCACAGTCTGCTGGGCTTCGGGGCTGTCCACTACTCGCTCCAAGATGCCTTGGACCAGGGCCAGCTGGTTGCTTGGGAAAACCCCGAGGTGCTCTCCAGGCAGGTAGCTCAGGTCTGTGCTGTCCTCGCAGGAGAGCTCCACCAGGAGGGTGGTGCGGCTGTGGGAGGAAGGACTTGGTGACTGCCAGGATTTCCTCCCGGCCACCTGGAAGGCGGGCCAGTTTCCCCAGGAAATGTGCCCTCCTGTCATTTTCCTGCCTGGTTCCTTGAGCCTGAGTTGGGGACCAGGCATAGCTTTGGGCGGGAAGACTCAGCATCCCACAATTTTCCCTTGGGAGAAGGCCACCCCGCCCTGCTTGGGCAGCCCGCCAAGCCCCCGAGGTCTAGCTGGAGGCTTTGCTGAAAGACAGCCTCCTGCGTGGAGATCTCTGGGTACTGGAAGAAATGCTTCCCTCTCCCCAGCGCAAAATCCTGTCCTTACTAGAAAAAAGTCCAGTATCCCTAATGAACTTCGGAGAGGACAGTACAGAGAAATAAAACCCACAGATGATCCCCAGTGCTCAGCTTCCTGGCTAGGACATTTCCTCCCTGCCAAAACTTCATGGCAGCTCTTAAGACCCCAATGACTTGTGTCCCTGGGTCTCTCCTTTCAATGAAAGAGTCTAGTGAGGAAGGAGAGAAAGCAAAGCAGGGGCTTTGTTCCCAAGCTGGACAACTGGCTGGTCAATTGAAACTGGCTGCAAAGACACACAGGTGGCCACAGGTTAGTAGACCAGTTGATCCTACTGGTGGTATTTTTTTTTGGGGGGGTGGGGGTACTGGGGATTGAACCTAAGGGTACTTAACTACTGAGCCACATCCTGACCCTTTTATGTTTTATTTTGAGACAGGGTCTTGCTAAGTTGCTGAGGCTGGCTTTGAACTTGCAATCCTCCTGCCTCAGACTTCAGAGCTGCTGAGATTACAGGCATGCACCTCCATGCCCAGCTATGATGGCATCATACTTCTAGTGACAGCAGATGCTTCTATCCTTTCCCTTCAAGGACTGACTTGCTCCGGTCTTCCATTTATCAAAACAGAATTTTCTTGGAACATCATCCAAGAGCCCTGCACAATACCTCACCTGGATTTGGGACTCTGTAGATTCTGCTGAGATTTGAGCCTCATGGTGAACACCTTCTTGGCGTGCATGTGGCTGAGGGCTGTGGAGACACAGATAGGAAAAGGGGGTTCTAAAGCAATGGTGAGGGAAGTTCCATGTCTGAGTCAATTATTCTTGCCCACTGCCTGTTACGGGTTGGATATGAACAGTCCCTGTGTTGAAGACGTATCCCCAATGCAGCGGTACTCAGAGGTGGGGCTTTGGGGAAGGGATTGGATCTTGAGGGCTCTGGCCAGTGGATAAATAATTTGAAGTCATTGCTGGAAATTGTAGGAGGTGGGGACTGGTTGAAGGAAATAGATCACTAGGGGCATGCCCTTGGGGACTACATCTTGTCCCTGACCCCTTCCTCTTTCTTTCTGCTTTCTGGCTGCCATGAGCTGAGCAGCTTTTCTTCGCCATGGAGTCAGCCGACCGTGGACTGACACCTCTGAAACCACGAGCCAAAATAAATCCTTCCTCCTCTAAGTTGTTTTTGTCAGGTATGTGTTTGTCAGCTTTTGGTTGCTGTGACCAAAATATTGAAAAGAACCACTCAGAGGTTGGGCTCCTGGTTTCAGGTCTCAGTCCATGGCCAGCCGACTCCACTGCTCTGAGCCTGAGAGGAAGCAGAACATCATGGCGGGATGATGGAATGGAGGAAAGCTATTAAGTTCAGGGCCGCCAAGAAACAGAGGGAAAGAGGAAGGAAAGGATCAGGGACATATATAGTCCCCAAGGCCACACCTCTGGGGACCTACTTCCTCCAATCACACCTCACCTGCCTATAGTTACCACCCAGTAGTTCATTCAAATTATTAATCCATCAAGTGGATTAATCCACAGATGGGATTACAGCCCCCACAATCTAGTTTTTTCACCTCTGAACACTGCCTAACAAATGAATGGGTAGGGGTAACCTTCCAGATCCAAACTGTAACTGACAAAAAGCTGACTAATAGACAGTGGGAGCTATTGGGATTTTTTTTTCCTTCTGTTTTCCCCCCGTTTCTGAATATAAAGACCCCTCATCTGACAGATGGTGGATGTGCTGCTGCTAACTATTGGGAAATTTAATTTAGAACCCAATATGCATGATGTCCCAGGGCAACTCCCTGGCTTGGGATCCATAGGAGGGCCGAACTGAGGTTGGGGATGTTCTGAACATGCAGAAGCCTGCAGGATCTCTGTTCTTAGGGAGCAGGCACAACACCCCGAGGGAGCAGAGCTTGACCACAGCCTGGAGTCATCTCACCCTGTCACCATTAGTAAAGCTGGGCTCAGCTCCTAACCTGGCCAAGCTACCACTTGCTTCACCTCCTTGAACTTCAATTATTCTGTCCCTTTCTCACAGGTTGAGTGTCAGGGTCTCTTAGATCAACCGTTCATGGTATCAGCGACAAAACACCAGCACAGTCAGCCCACCCCTGAAGCGGGCCCACCCTCCCTCCCAGAGCATCTTCTTCAACAGGTCTCTTTGCAGCCTGGGATCTGGTTGGGTACCAGGCTCTTGGATTCACTGAGGCAGATGCCTGGCAGCCCCAGCTGCTGTCTCTATTCAGAGGGACCTGGTGGTCTCCTTGGTTGCGGGCTCAAAGCCCAGACACCCAACCCAGGCAGGAGGCTAAACAGGCCTCATGTGGTGCAGAGAGGCAGGTACCTTTGTTGAGGTCCAAGGGCTGTGAGTCCTGCACAAGCCTGTGGTGGCGAGGCTCCCAGGTCATGCTGCCCGTGTAGAGCTTGGGGATCTGAATGTGGTGCTTACCTCGAATGTCAAACGTGTCGCAGGCAGCCTGGAAGGCAGTGCAGACTGGTGTCAATCATCATCCTCCTCATCACCAGTGGGGCTATCAGATTGTAGGCCCTCACCATGGACCCAGCACCAAGCTGAGTGCTTCATAGAATTTCTAAGCACATGAATCTATAGGGTCACTATAGGGACTCAAAGAGGTGCCCAGGCTTTGCACACAGTAGTTACCACTAATATTATAAATATTAATACTGACATCGTCTTGCCAACATGGTGAGGGAGGTTTGAATACTTTATGTGAATCACATGAAGGAGGCCTGGGCTTTGAAACTAAGTGCCCCCAGCTCAAGCCACGGCTCCTGAGCACCTTTGCTGAGCAAAACTCTTCCCTTCAGTGATAAGCCCCCTACACCCACAGGCAGCCTCCATAATAAAGGTCTACAGAGATACTGAGCCAGATCCAAAGAGCTCAACTATGTGCCCTCTGTCCCCAGCTCTCTGTGGCTGGGAGTCCCAAACAAGATGTGGTTGTTAAGAGGTGACCTAGAAGGCCAGGGTTGTGGCTCAGTGGTAAAGTGCATGCCTAGCACATGTGAGGTACTGGGTTCAATCCTCAGTACCATATTTTTAAAAAATAAATAAATAAAATAAAGGTATTATGTCCATCTACAACTAAAAAAAATGGTTTAAAAAATAAGAACTCTTCTGGGAGGAGGGAGGATCACAGCCTTGATCTGAGTCCCCTGGCCCACACCTGGGACCTACCCACAGGGTGGGGCAGAAGTCGCACCACCCAGGATGGCTGGTACACATGTCCTGGGTGTGAAGACACCTCATCATGGGGCAGCTCTGGCTGGGTACTGACCTTGAAGGTGTGCACGGCCCAGGTACGGAATGCATCCTCCTGTCCGCTGAGCTCGTCACCTTCCCCCATTGGGGTGAGCTGAGAGGCTCCCAGGTGGGACAACTTTTGGTCGATGTCATGAGCAAACGCACAGAACTGTGGGTACATGCTGGAGCCAAGACCGAACACGGCATACCTGCCCCAGGAGGACACACACAGAGACTCAGGTCACATGCAAGCAGCACCCCTTGCCAAAGCAGCACCCTCTTTAGCCTCTGGCCCTCACCACCAACTCCCATGACCAATGCACGCTTAGCTAGCAGACCTAGGAGAGGAAGTGGTTTCCCCAGCTGGTTCCACAACACACTCAAAGGATAAACTTCAGATTAGGGCTGTCCCTGTGCTGGACAATTCCAGGAAGACCCACTTATGCACATCCAGTTTCATCCCCAGATCCCAGACTCTGGACCCAGAGGTTGGGCTCAGCCAAAAAAGGAGTGGGGAAGAGCCTGACCTGAAGGTGTTGGTGAGCTCCTTCAGCATGAAGAGGGATTTCTTCAGAGTCTAGAAAGGGAGACAACCACAGAGTTTGCAGGCCAGGATTCACACAAGCACAACTTTTTCTTTTTCTCCTGATGCCCATTTAAAAACTAGCCATATCTAGCTGGGCTGGGCACACCTGTAATCCCAGCAACTCCAGAGGCTGAGGCTGGAGGAGCACAAATTCAAAACCAGCCTCAGCAACTCAGCAAGGCCCTAAGCAACTTATGGAGACCGTGTCTCAAAATAAAACATAAAAGGGATGGTGTTGCGTCTCAGCAGTAGAGCGCTCACCTAACACACGTGAGGCACTGGGATAGATCCTCAGCACCACATATAAATAAATAAAATAAAGGTATTGAATCTACCTGCAACTAAATATATATATAAACACAAAAATGGGCTGGGGATGTGGCTAGTGGTTAAGTGGCTCTGGGTTCAATCCCTGGTACCCAACAAAACAAGACAAAAATCTGGCCACATCTAGCAGAAGGATCCAGGTCCACAGTGCAGTTTGGTTTAGATGTAGGACCACCTGACCAGGGCTCGGTGGACAAGTTCAGCTTATCTTGGAGACCAGTCAACCGTAGCAGCTCACGTGGCACTGCCCCTCAGTGGAGGATCCAGAACAACCCGACCCCAATGCATCCAGCTCCAGAAAAGCAGGGCCTGCCCTATAGTGGGGCATCCACAGAGGGTCTCCTAAAGGACATGAGCCTTCCTTCTTCTTTGGAACCAGGTAGGAGCAAAAACAATTGGCCACATATTCTCTAAAATAACCCTGATTTCCCAGGAACCCAAAACAATTTTAGGTGCTGTGTGATCCAGCATAAACAGTGTCAAATCATGGAAATTATTCCCTTTTGTGTATTTTATTTTTTAGTTATTCTCTTCTCAATTTATTTTTCATCCTTCTGTGCACCAGGAGTCTCTAGTTGGGGCCATAGAGCTGTAACCTCTTGAATACTTGCCTATTGCTCTTAAAAAAAAAAAAAAAAAAAGAGAGAGCAGACCTGGGTTGGTCAATAGCATTAACTAAAAATCAATAACTTTGGATTTCACTGAATTTACTTTTTGCTGTGTGGCTTTCCCTTTGTGAGAGTGATACAAGTTTCCTTTAAACATGAGTTTTTCAGTTAGAAAATGTGTAGGTCAATTCACAGAGATTTATTAAGTGTGTCAAAGGAAAGGTGGCCCATGAAGGACCCTGGGTGACTTGGGGTTTCACTCCCAACCACCCTCTTTTTATTGGGGGGGGG